CTGTATTACTTTACGCGCTGTGATCAATTTGATAATCGTCCTAATTCTGCCTACAAGATTTCGGATTTCTAGATAGATCAAATATTGCGCCTAAAGCGTAGCAATTATCCCTCAGAGTATTGTGGAAATACTGGCTCGCCCCGTATTCTCTACGTGAACGACAATGGCGCCGACCGTTCAATGTGCTTACTCAGGGTTAGGAGACCGGTGAAGACCCCTGAATCGGGGTTAGCGACGAGTTCTCAAGCACAGTGGTGTGAAAGCGCTGGTTCGTTGGTTGGTGATCGTCCCAAGGGTATGGTGGGTTATTTCCATTCGAGATGAGGATTCCGCCAAGACACAACACCCAACAACGGGTAGTTTCCTCCGATGGAGGGAGGGGTAAGTTCGCCTCTTTCCGTCATGATAATCGATTATTCCAATGTCCTGATCTTCTCGGCGTTGGCATTGGAGTCTCTTCGACGGTCACATCTACACCTATCCTCTCGGATACGTTGACGTGATTAAACATAAAATGATGCCTCAACTCAGCCCAGCGCCGCTCCTGCGACTGCTTCTACAGCTTCACCGGCTGCGGCCGCGATTGAGCCTGGGGTAGCAGCGAACGACCCTGTGAGAGCCTTCGCGCGAAACTCAAACTATTTTAGGGCTTGTGACTTTAGTTTCTGGAGGAACTTGCCCTGAGTGTGGCGGGAAAGTATCGGTATACTGACAAGTCATTGAGTGCTAGAATCCTATTGTCGCAGCCGATGATCATGATTCTTTGGCGGAAACAGAGAGGTTTGTGCTCGATTCCCAAATTCCAAGCGAGACGCAACACTAACAGAGGCGGGCAAAGCGTTACGACTCAGTCGACTGCATCGCTAACCGAGAGCATCACCGAATACCGCAGAATTCATGGTCGTACTTATACGCAAAAGGCCGACTACTGGGGTCCGAACGACGAGCAGCAAAATGAGGGCCTTGATCTCGCGTGAGTAGCAGGGAACTTCCTTGAAATCCTCAATTGGCTAATTCACGCTCTTGAAGGCATTACTGGGAAACGCTACTCCTCGGCGACAAGCTTTTTCTTTCACCGCTCGGGGATGGACCGTTGGTAAGAAGCTTCCATCTCCAGTCAAGATACGGTTCTGAAGAATTGAGCAGAAGGTCCTCGACTTAGGAACCGGTACTGGTATCTGGGCAATGTAAGTTCATTGATTCATTCCACCTGAAATGCCTTTCTTGAACCAAGCCAAAACTGACAGGGACGCAGTGACTTCGCTGACGAGTTCCCGTCTTCCGAAGTAACGGGTGTCGACATCTCGCCTATCCAGCCTGGCTGGGTGCCGCCCAATTGCAAGTTTCAAATCGACGATGTCGAACAGCCATGGACATGGACTCCTGATTTCGATTTCATTCATCTCCGCCACATGGAGGCTTGCATCTCCGACTGGCCTGCTTTCTACAAACAAATCTATGATCACCTCAAGCCTGGGGGATACTTTGAGATGAAGGATTTTGACATTGAGTTCCGCTCTCAGGCGTATGGGGACAGTCTCCCAGAAGACCATGTCTACCGCAGGTGGGGCAAGATCTTTTTCGAGGCTGCAAACCGCCTCGGCAAGTCCATGGATCAGTCACGAGGGGGCCACAAAATCGCCGATGCTATGAGGGACGCCGGCTTCGTCGACGTTGTCGAGAAGAGCTGGCCTGTGCCTATTGGGGGTTGGCCCAAGGACCACACGCTGAAAGAGGTTGGCATCTGCAACCTGGAGTTTCACGACCAGTCTCTCGAAGGCTTTTCCATGTTTCTGTTGACTCAGGTGATGGACTGGGATAGCATATCGGCGGGGGTGTTCGTTGCCGAGGCACGCAAAGCTCTCAAGGACCCTAAGCTCCAGACGGTGATATACTTGTGAGTTGATCATGGTTTCTGTGGTCTAGACAAGGCTCTGCTGACATGAGATAGGCAAAACGTGTACGGACGCAAACCTGAGGGATCATCTTAGCTTGGGCTTTTCAATGCGTTTCCCACTATTTGACAGCTTTGCTGACCACGGCTAGCATCGAGTAGGGTGGTCAGATTGAGTGGGTCTCACAGCACCTCCTTCGTAACGAATTGAGAGATAGATAGGGGTGACAAACATAGCCCTTGTCTGTTCAACCAAGCCTCAACTTTCTTTGACTTTGCCCCTTGATGTTTTGCAATACAAATTTTACAACTTTGACTTCAGCTCTGCATCTATCGCTTCGAGGCCGGATGGTCCACCGTAAAGCTGTGCTTGCAAACCATTCGTGTTGATCTAAGGTAATAGCAACAATGTCAGAAATGTCGCCATCATCGACGATAGAATCAGGGTGGGCGACTCTGAACTTACATGTCTTGTTCCAAGTTCATCCACACGCTCAACACCAAGCAGTCTCATTGCGGTGACGGTCTCATCTGCAAGAACTATAGAACCACTTCAGCTTACGATTCGCGAAGGATGAATCTGGCGATGAGGTTGAACTTACTTTGCAATACCCTTTCAACACCCGCTTGTCCCCCAACAGCTAGGCTGTACAGCGCCGCCCTTCCAATGCCGACACCCTTGGCTCCCAGGGCCAGAGCTTTGACGACGTCTGTACCTCTTTTGATACCTCCATCGATGAGAACATCAATCTTGTCAAACACCTCTGGACAGAATTTCCGAATCTCCAGAAGCACTTGTACAGGCGTCATTGTCGTATCCAGAGCCCGTCCACCATGATTCGAGATAATGATACCCTTTACGCTCGGAAACAAGGTCGCCGCATACGCATCCTCGTGTGTCTGAATGCCTTTCAACACTATCGGGAGATTCGTATGCTTGGCGAGCCAGGCAAGCGTCTTCTTCCACGTGAGTCCCGACTCCGTGCCCCATACACCCGGCGGGGCGCCTCCCGCAACTTCTGCCATCTTGAATCGCTCGTCTGCTTCTCGTTTGCCGGGGAATGGAGCGTCTAGTGTGAGCACGATGAATTTGATTTGGGGAACGGCTCGAATCTGTGCCAATGTCCTCTCGGTCGCTTCGATATCCTTCAGAACGTAGAGCTGCCATGCGAAAGTCGCGTCGGGGCCGGCCTGGACAATTGCTGAGGGAGACATTGACGCATTCTTGCTGATGATCTGCAAGCCCTTGAATTTGGAGCTCGCTGCTGCAATGCCGGCCTCGCCTACTGGGTGCGCCAATTTGGCCATGGCTGCGGGCGAAACGTAGATTGGCATGCCGACTGCATTTCCAAGGAGGTTCGTCGATAAGGAGCACCGGGTACAATCAACAAAGACCCGTGGCCGCAGGAGAATGGAACGGAAGATGGTGCCATTCCCAACTTTAGTGACCTCGTCATCGGTTCCTGAGGCGTAGTACGAGATGGCTTTCGGGCTCATCTTTTGCAAGGCATAATGCTCCATTTCGGCGATACTCAGGATCTGAGACACTGGAGGTACGTCATCTGACTTATCTGGTGATGGCGATGGGTTCGCGAGTGCGTCCGGAGGTGGCATGTCTGATTGCAGCCTGCCTCCCGTTTCTGTGACTTCAGATGTTCCCATGATCTGGCCAGGCCGGAGATACTCTTCCAAGACCTCAACTGGGTGGACGGCATCAAACGCCTCGCTAGCATCTTTGCCTGCATTCTTTAGGAGAATGGCTTTACCACCCGGGTGATTGGGGAGGAATGATGTGATCTGCCGCATATGGTGAGTTTTGTGATTCTTGTAAGAGGGCCAGAAAACGCACATCGTAGACTACGCCATGAATGGCCATCCAACAATCATCAATAGTTCGATGTCGGTGGACTGTGAACTTTTAGCAATGTATTGTTTCGTCATGACGCACGAGAAAGGCACCTTCGGAGAGCGGCCACGTTCGACTCATCATGAATACAGAAGGGTCGCTTCAAACATCGTTTGCTTCTACAGATGAATGAGATTAATAGCACAGCATGGGACTGCTAAATTCTTGCAGGTTGGTGTCACGATGCGCCGAAGTGACAAGGCACAATGCGGAACCTCTTTCACCTGGTACCTCTGGGTGGTCTGTGGCATGTATCTCACGATACCCACATATGCACTCGGTCGGGAGTTTATGATCCCATTTACCTCTTCTGGATGCGGGCTTTCATATCCCCGGTGGGATGTGGCACGTTCCCCAAGCTCTCCGCAGTTGAATCCACCTTTCTCCCCACCATCTTGGTCAACCCCAAATCCTCACTCCGGAGTCTTGACTCACCATTGGTACAGCAGTATCCGCAGATGCGGTAGAGAAACCAGTTGAATCCTTGCTCGAAACCGGCGAATGATTCAATGGAGGCTTTGAACTAGTAGAAGGAATGAGTAGACCCTCTGAGGTTCGAGAAGAGGAAGCTTAGTCTCACTGTCTCACCGACCACAGGTTGTCCAGTTTCCATCCTACATCTGCTCTAGCAAGCTACTAACAATCTCGTGAGCTCGACCTGCATCCAAGGCTCAAGCAGCTAAGGGACTTTAGTGAGACATGTACCGAGTCAATCCACATATGAAGTTGCAACTCGACGTTGCCTTATGGATGCTGTCGGTGCAAGAAGACTAGCTTGTGGGGACTTGGTCGGGCTGGTCAGTGAGTCGCAGCGCAGGCTTTAGCACACCGGTTGCAATCCACCAAATTTTCTCTTAGCACAAGAGAAATAGCCGGGGATATGGCTTGAGATAACTCTTTCGCCGTCAATAATGTGCACGATGATTGATTTTACCCACTGAATCAAAGGATTGGCAAATGTCTTGACCGAATGCGCCGAGATAACGTGATATAATTTCAGAGTTCCACTTTAAATCTCCAACCCCTTTCTGAGGCTCCAGTTGCTAGGCAACTGAAGGAGAGGCCCAACAGGATTGTGACTTCAGATACGACGATTTTATCCTTTTCCTACACCCTGATATAGTCTTACTTCTGGCACACACTCTAACTCCAATCTGATATTTCCTGGTTCTGGCAATTACCTGCGTACTTACTTACAATATGGGTAGGGGGCAGAGACGAAGGAAGACAAAACGATTGGAGGCTCACCAGCAACAGGAGGAGGAGCAGTATCGCCAGGTACAGCAAAGACTACATCAACTAAGGCAAGAGGCGCAAAAGCAGGAGCATACATCAAAGCAACAACAGAATCAACACCAAAGAAAGCACAAGGGTCCATTTTCAAAGGCATACACGCGGCCACAATACAACCCCAAGAATCGCCCAGAATGGTTCTTTCGTCACATGGAATGGCTAGCTTGGTCGGTCGAGGATCACGGTCGCAGAGCCTTTGCAGAAGATCTTTCTGACATTGAGCCCTCAAACGGGGAGTGTACTTACGAAGAAGATGGTTCTGATTGTGAGTGTGAGACGCCCATCTGGCGAGAGTACACGGGCGATGACGAAGAAGAAAGGCTTTTCCGCGAAGCAAAATACCAACGAGCGATGTTCAAGCGCGAATGGCTTCCCGAAACCAGTAAACATTACAAGATTGAAGAAAAGATGAGGATGGAACGTATGGCCCGGCAAAATAATGACAAACTCAAGAGAGTCAAGTTGGCCATCGACGCTCTGATACGAAACGGAACGAGAGACGAAGCAAAACCTCTCTACTACATGAGCCGTAACATTTTATCGCAGTTCGACTTGCTTTCCGAGGACTACGCAGCTCCCTTGGATCCAGATGGTATTCGAGTGTCTAGGATAATCGACTTCACCGACATGAACTCAGTCCGCGCCATGAAATACCCGTCGCTCAGAGGAACAACGGAATTGAAGGTTGACAGGGTCTTGTCAGGGGGTCTAGCCATAGATTGCGCAGAAGACCCTGACGATGACATCCGACTGGATTTTGTTTCATTTAAGTGCCCTCAAAGAACAGGAACTTACAAGATCCCCACGGATAGAAAGGATGGGGCTCGGGAGTTGAATATTGAATTCCTCAGCGATGACTACATCATACTGGATGTCCATCCTGATGCGGTCTTCCGCGACCAGAGCGGCAAAAAGCTACCCAATTGGCCAAAAGCGCCGCTGGCTCAGTATCGATTTTACGGCATCAACAGGGCGTTGAGCGGGGATCCGTCTTGTTATAGATGAAGCATCTCTAATCGCAGTTGCGTTTGTGAAGCAGAAGGACACAGCGGCCTGAAGGATGACTGGTACTGATCCTTGATAATATCAAATGAAAATCTCTTCTCAATCCGCCGTCATAATAATGTCGAAATCAAAGCTTTCTTGCGTGAGGTTCCAAAAAGGCACCCGAGTTACACAGTGTGGCAACAAAGATCTTGTTCACCCAAGAGATCAGCGAGAAACAGTTCGTGTATCACCGGTTCTGACATGGGAATTTCGATAAGCATACCTACCCTAAAATCGAAGAACTAATTATCCACAATGAAATCAAAACATTCCATGAGTTAAATTCGCTGCTAGTAGAACATGTAGGCAGAGCATTCATTGAAAGAAGTGCCCATAACACTTTTATCGGCCTGATTTCAGTTCGGGATCAACACTATTTACAACTTGATAACTCGTGGATCATGTTGGATGTAATGAATGAGTGAAAGAACCTAACTCCTGGCACTGGCCTACAGTCGCCGCTTCACACGTAAGTTGTGGCGAATTACTCGCTGCCGGATCCACCGTTCTTGATGCAGGCGTCGGAGAAGTCGCCGCCCTCCATCAACTTGCCGGGAGACTTGCAGGTGATGGTGGTTCCACTGTTGGAGAGGACGCAGTCAGAGCAGAAGCCGGGGCAAGTCTTTCTGGTCACGTCGTTGTTCTATCATTTTGTCAGTTCCGTTGCGCTCAACTTCTATCTGATGAATTTGGAGTGCGAGCTTACGGGCAAGCCGACGATGAACTGGCCGCTACCACTGGCGGTGATGCAGTGGAGCTCGGAGTGCTTCTTGGCGGCAACGCTGTCACTGTTAGCAAATGATTGAACAAGACATTCAACGAACCCAACAGTGTGGTTTTGATTGTATCTACTGGGTTGACTTACCTGGTCGCAGCAGCCAGGAAAAAAGTGGTCATGATGGTAGAGAACTGCATCTTGAGGGTTGGTGAGTGGGCGATTGATCTTAAAGACAGGAGTTTCTGTAAAGTATGAAGAGTTGGCAAAGTGATTGTGAAGATTGATCTGGAATGTGAGTTGTGATGTCTTTACTGGAAGGAGGATGCAATAGACATTTATAGCGAGTTCTTGATCATTTACACACACACAAGGCTGAGCGGTCCTGAAGTCGGCATCGCTATCCGCTCCGCCCTTTCAGTAAGGCAGGGCCAAGATCTACAGACGCTTTCTAGGTTGTACAGCGTGAACTCCACAGAGTAGTGTGAAGGTGTCGCGAAAGCGATAGCGAAAGTCCTCAGGTACGGAAAGTCATAGCCGTTAGAGCTGAAGCCCGTGCTCCCTCGCATTTGCCCCTCTCTGCTTGTATCATCCACAAAAGATGCTTTTTTTATGAGATGTGAGCTGTTAGGATCGTGCTTTAGGCTACCTTATGTCAATTAAGCAACTATCTACGTATGCTATAACCAACTCTCAGACAAACTCACGAGACCGAGACAACAATCGTGAGTTGTCAAGTGAACAGGCTTAGCATCAAGTTGCTGCGGAATCGGGCTTCCCGCGTTAGTCACTACCTCTTTCAATGACTCGTCTGAGGCTTGTTCGGGTAACCATGCGCTCAGAAACAGTGGAAGGGGTGATGAGAAGCGGTGTTGACTTCTACCGCACCCTCTGACCTTGCGATTCGGGACCCCCAAATAGCATTGCCACTGAATGGGTCTTTCTTCAGTTGCCAGACATAATGAAGATCTCAACATTTTTTCGAGGTCACGCGCGCCGTTCCATACCCACTGCAAGCTTGGTTCACAAACAACGCAACAAAATTTTCATAAGACGAAGCTTTCTATGGTATCGTAGTGTTTCGAAACCAAGGCAGGCAATGGTCATGGTGGAGGACTGTTAGACAACTCAGGGAAGTTGCGAGTTTAGAAAAGAGATCAACAGAACGTAGATAACCTATGTGATTACGAGTGAGGTGTTGGCTGTAAGCGAATGACTTTTGCCACAGACATCCAGGTGATAATTGAGGATTCACCCTCGGATTTCAACCATACACGAGCACTCTGAGAGCTTGAATCTGTAGATTTGTCTCATCTAATTACTCAATCGTTGGCATTAGGTAATGATCAGTCGGAGACTCAGGGAAACCACTTGAGAGCCCCTTCCATCTCCTCAATGACACTGTTCTTTAGCGGAGTCCATCCATTCTGGCCTCCCCACTTGCGGAGCAATTCAATCAGTTGGTCGTATTCAGCGGTGATCCTAAGTTCGGTCTGGTTTGGGAAGTCATTCATAGACTCTTTCTCCGGGTGAAGCCTCCGCAAGATGGCAAGGATTGCATTCATGTTGCAGTGTTCACCCCATGCTTGTAGTCGTGCTCCGTTGCAATCGGGATCCAATACCGCGGCAACATGGAGCAAAGCAACATCCTTCACATCAATATGGATGACTGTGTTTGCACATTGCTATCAGTCGCTGAAAAGGATGGGTGTGTATTGAAGGAGGACTTACTGGCCTGAAACAGAGCTCCAACCTCTTCGTTTCCATCATCAAGGTTCTTCACCCAGGGTTATGGAGACACCAGATGTCTCTGGCAAAGAGCCTCGCCCAAGACAGTCGCCGGACTGACGGCGTTGACGGTATAGTGAGGCTTGTTCTTCTTGACAAAGGCCCACAAGGCCTTCTCGGCCTCGACCTTGCTGGCTTGGTAGACTATGTGCCAGTGATCAGGGGCGTGCGGAGGCGGAGCCCAAGCAGTCTTGACTGCGTGGTCGTTCTAGGCGTCCGGTCCTGCATGTGCGGTGACCCCGGGACTCAGGTCAACGGCGGCGACAATAGAGCTAGTGTAGACAATCGACTTGACGGACGGCTCGCGAGGCGCAGCCTCGAGAATCGAGACCATACTGTCGACGACCGGAGGTATTACATCCTGGGGACTGTCGGAGAAGGAAAGAATCGAGGCTATGTGAGCGACTGCCGATACTCCTTTGATCGCCCCGTCAAAGGCATGTTGGGCGCCGAGGTCCGGGACTTGTACGAGTTCAAGATCACCTCGGTCAGCAAAGGGACTAAAAACGTCTTGGGTGAGCTATGTAGCTCTGTTTAGATCTCGAACGGTTCCGCGGACCCCGAAACCATGTTCAAGGGGTTGTCTGGTCGTATGCACTGCTATGTGGCCGGTGGCAGCGGTGACAAGCACCCAGGAGCCTTTCGGAATTCTGGTTTTGAGGCTAGACATTGCGAAGAAAGATGCGAAAGGCGTGAAGTTCGAGAGAGACTGGGATACTTTCTCTTTTTCTTTCTGAATGATACTGGGAATAAACTTGTGTTCTCGCATCAACGCCTGCATTATATACTTCTCAAAATCAAGTGGGAATTCATGAGAAGCATTTTGAACTGACCCGTCGCTTAGGTCCAAACCCGGACTATGCTTTGTTGAGAAAGAGCATGCCTTGGCAGGGTCATTGGCAGCACGGTAGGATCCAAAGGTAGGAACAGTTGCCACGGAAGTGCAGTTGAAAGATATCGAAGCCAATAAGAAACCTTGTAGTGTACATTGACGCCTTGAGCTGGTTCCCGGCAGTTGGTTTCCCAATCTGGAAGCAGCAAGTCTTGGCAGCATTAGTTGCTGACCTGGACAGATGAGCCGCATGAACCTCTGCTACTGCTGCTCTGGTTGTGCTGAAGAATTCAAGGTAAGCCATCCGATTACAAATACTGCTTCGCGTATTTGCGGATTATGTCCTACAACGGCTGACAAATGATACGAATCTGCGGGCAACCCGTGAAAGAGGGTATCTACATCCCCAAGAACTGTCCCCGCAAGATCTCAGCCATGCCTTTCGTAAGACTGTCAAAACAATCGCTATCATGTCAGTCGAAAGAGGCCATATCCAGTTCATCTATGTGCATGAACAGAACAACTCGAATGTTGCGTCAGCTGAGTCACAACGTCGAGCTGATTCTCATGCAGCCACGACGGCACACGCAAGAGCAAGGCGACAGCGAAATCTTCAGTATCAAGCTGTCAGATCAACCGACGTCCAAGTCGCTGCTGATTCTACTCTGATTAAGTCTCTGAGGTTTTCCAGGGAAGACTCCTTTGCTAGCTTTGCGAAGCGCTTTAGTTCGGTTGAAGACTTCCTTCTAGACTATTGTAGTTGAGAACCGCGAATCTATTTCAGATGATTTGAAATTCCGAGTCCTCTGCTTGAACCCTGCCAACGAATGATCGAAAGTCAGCCTCTAGACAACTAACATTGGCTTCAAAGACGTGCAAAACGTCGTGCCATGTTCGAATTATGAGCCAACCCGAAGTGGTTTTCTGGATGGCTGCACAAAGAGTCTTAACCATCAATTCATTCAGCTGGCCGCAACCAGCAGCAGCGCTCTAAATGGCCCCTTCCTCGTAATTAGCCGGCGTTTGTCGCATTGTTTTCCGCAACAGAAACCACACTATAGACAACTCGCCTTACAGGACGAAGTCGCCTGTGCGCGGCTGCTCATGGATGTTATTATTTCATGCCTGAAAATGCGGTCACCGATTACTGATTCGATCATCACAATAGCTGTTTTCCTGGCACAAGATGAGATGAGCCAGTACAACTATGCTATTTGCATGAGTATTTCGAATTCATTCAACTAAACTTCGACAACTGACAGATCTTGGTGGGTGATGTTGCTTCGACGCAGCAGCACTTACAAGGTGCGATCCACATGGTGAGACGTAATGGGGCGTTGAATAACAGGGGCTTCAACATATCCCTCTATGACATCATTCAAAAAGACATTGTAAACTCTGACTTGATGAAGGGGCTGTCCCATTAGCCTGGGAAATTGAATAGTCCATGATCAGAGATCGGCAATGGCATTGTTGGTTCATGAGCGACTCGCGTTCGCAGCAAGTCATGTACGCACTGACTTTAGGTTAATATGAAGAGTCCAGATGAGTGCCAGAAGCCACTGATGAGCGTCTCGTCGGTTGCGATTCATTGATAGTTGCACTATCCTCTGACATTGCCAATATTCGCTCTTTTCAACAAACGTTGGAAAGGTTAGAAGAGTCCAGGGCCTGCAATGAGTGTCAACAACGTGCGACTAACAGCGACGGAGTTGACCATCGCGAAGGCCCGTGCGCAACTTCAGACTTAGACTGATCATATTAGCACACAGCACGAGATCTCAATCTGTACTCTACATGCCGGATAAAAGACACGTAAGTAGGCCTAGCTAATACTTTCTCCTCAATACCGGGAGCTATTTTGGAACATTGTCCGTTACGATCCATGCCACACTTGCCTAGCCCAGCAGGGAACAAGGAGAATGGTGCCACAGACCCAGTATTTCCCCGACAATTTATATCCCCGCGTGGACCCAGCGTCGATGCTTTCCGGGGTTGGTTTAAATCCGGGGCACTGTCGTTGCCAGATTGCGGCTACAATCAGTGTCATATGCAGTCCATGTTGTGACATTTGATCAGCCGGATAGCGACTTGCTGTTAGATCTCTCTTTCAAGATCGTCAACTTCCTTCCTCCACCCCCTCCCGTCCCTGGGATCTCGTGGGCTGAACAGCCTGGGGTTATCGTTTCCCACGATCTAGTGTGACATCTCGCATTATTCGGCGGATAGGCTCCAGTGCCCTTCGAGCCTCACGGAAAGACATCCCCATTCATTGCTTGCACGATGGATAGGGACAACGCCAAGGACGGCCCCTTCCTCAAACACTCGGACGATGCCGACACCGGTGTTGATACCTATGCTACGATCATGGCAACAAACAAACCCGACCCGCGAGGACCCGGATACATCAGGCTATACCTCCTTGCCACAGTGTTGTTCTTCTGTTCGACCATGAATGGTAGAGAAGTTCCGCTCTCGTACTGTACTTTCAATGGCTAATTCGACGTAGGATACGACAGCGCTCTTCTAGGGTCCATCAACGCATTACCCAATTACACGGAGTACTTTGGGCTTCCTGCAAAGGGCAACGCAAGCACTGGCATCGTGTTCGCCATCTTTCAGGTACAATTCGGTGGCAGAGCTTATTGAAATAAGGTTGCTAATATTGGGTCAAGGTCGGTCAAATGTGTGGTGCCCTCTTCATCTGGATGGCAGATTGGTACGGTCGAACCTGGCACATCTTCTTCGGCTGTTTAGGCGTTTGCATCGGGGCAATAATAACGGCACTATCAACGAGTCTGCCCATGTTTATTGGCGGTCGCTTCATCTTGTCGTTCTTTGCTACCTGTGCTCACACGTCTGCACCCCTTTACTTGGTCGAGATCGCGCCTGCTCGATATCGTGGCACTGTCGCAGGCCTCTACAACACCTTTTACAACGTGGTACGTGACAATTCAACAATAAAGAGAGGGACTGGAGTGGGAGGCTGAGACTTGAAATGAGTTGTTGAGGCTTGTGCTAACCGTCACCCTTTTCATGTAGGGCTCAATATTGGCAACATCGGCAGTATACGCGTGCCACCGCTACCTGAGTGATCGCGGAGACTTGGATTGGAGAATACCGTTATGGCTTCAGATGGTGTGCCCTGGGCTTGTGTGTGTCTTGATCAAGTTCTTCCCCGAATCTCCTCGATGGTCAGTTGTCCCTCAACCACGACCTCGAAGTTTTGACTGACCCTACGACAGGCTCGTCGCCAAGGACAGACATGACGAGGCAAAACATATCATCGCAACCTATCATACCAACGGGGACCTCGAGCATCCTCTCGTAGACCTGCAGATGAAGGAAATGATCAACTCGCTTGATCCAGCCCACGTACCTTCGTGGAAAGATCTCTTCGACTTGAGGGTCCTCGTCGAGAGCCGGTCTAGCAGGTACAGACTTATGCTCAATGTAGCGTTTTCTTGGTTTGGGCAGTTCAGTGGAAACAACATCAGTGAGTTCTCTGATGCAACAGGCTTTTTGTCTCCTGAAGCAACTGACACATGCTAGTCTCGTACTACCTGCCCATCATGCTTGCGGGCGTCGGCATCACCGATACGAACACGAAACTGATACTCAATATCGTCTACTCCGTCATTGGCTGGGTTTTTTCGACCGCGGGCTCCCGTCTTCATGACGTTGTCGGTCGCCGCAAGATGCTCATTTCCACCACCGCAGGTATGACAGTCTGTCTAGCCCTAGTCGCCGGCTGCTCGGCAGCCTACACAGACTACGGCAATAAGATGGCGTCCACTGTCAGCATCGTCTTCATCTTTGTCTTTGGTGCCATCTTCGCCACGGGCTTCACGCCGATGCAGCCCATCTACCCGGCCGAGGTTGTCAGCAACAAGATGCGTGCCAAGGCGATGGGGACTTTCAAGCTTACGGCAGGTGCGGCGGGATTCCTCAACACTTTTGTTGGGCCTATTGCGCTCTCGAATGTGAGTACATCTCCACATACTGACATGATGGGATATGCTGTGCTGGTGTACTGATGCAATCAATCCCTAACAGATTGGGTACTGGTTCTATGTCTTCTTCGTGGCCTGGGACAGTTTCGAAATGGTTTTCATGTACTTCTTCTTTGTTGAGACCAAGGGTTTCACACTGGAAGAGCTGGATGAAGTGTTCGAAGCAGACAGCCCTCGTAAGGCTTCGGTAGAGGCAAAGAAGAGACAGCAAGTGATCATGAGGGCCAGTACGGCTGCGCCCTGAGACAAGTTCTTCCGTGAAATATAAGCCGCGGCATGGCTTGCCTTAGATCATCCCGAATCAGACGAGATCTATCTCAACCTCGGGCTTCTTCTCAAGCCAAGATTCATCTCTCAAACAGAACCACCCAGCCCGCTTCCACTTGCCCTCGTGCGGGACAATGATCAACCCCTCTTTGTCAATCAGCCGAAGACCCCATACCTCTTCGAACTGCGCTGCTTCCTCTGGCACATCAAAGCACCCCACAGCAACGACGTTGTCTCCGTTGCCTGTCGTATCTGGTTTTTGCCCGTTCGAGACGAGCAAGACTGAGTGGGGCAGCATCTTTTTGTAAGGTAGCCATCGCTTTCTTGTCTTATCCGCCTCAAACCACTCGACAACGCCCGTCTTGATCAGAGTCGCCTTGTCCGTGCGCCCCAAGATTTGCAGCGTACAAGACGGCATGTGAAGGA